GGACCCCACCCGCCCGCGCCCGGGGCTCCAGACCCGCTCGTCCTCGGGCCGCCCCCACATTCCTATCCCTGCAGAGAGCCCCCCTCCCTGACCCCATTACTAGCGCTCGAATGTCCCTAACTTAAAAAATGTATCTATCTAGCGGCAGCTCTCGGATCCTGCTGGCTCTACTCTACGCCAGAGCAGCACCCGAGATGACCCAAGTCGCCTGGACGTGACCCCGACCCCCCTACCGGCCCCAAGCCCAGACTTTATTGATGTCTCAGAATACGCGAGGCTTGCTAATGCATAATACTCTCGGTCTTTATTGATATCAAACAAGGGACATCAGGGGGCCTGGAGTGCTGTATCTTAACTAGATTCTCACTGTCAAAATTCCTTTCCCGAGAGTTCTCCACCACCCCACCACCCCCATCCCCGCGACTGTCTAGGCAGCGTTGTTCCAGGGCTAAATAATTCCACGACCTCCCCCTTTCATTTACTCATTTCCTGAGGTGGTTGTCTGGGTCCTGTCGCCCCAGCTCAGAAGTCAGAATGGGCCCAGACAGTCTTAGTTCCTCCGCAATGTCCTTGTAAATCAGCCTTGTTAGCCTCTTCACCTTTGACTTTCTAACTTTTCAGGAAGGAAGGGGGTAAGGAAGTTAGTCCTTATTTGCATTTTGCACTGTCCCAAAGACCGCAGAGTCCCTCTGTAGGACCTTCCAGCAATATTTAATTTGGGGGTTACTGTGTAAGGTTATTGACTCTCTCTTAGTTTTGAGGCCTAGGATTCAGGTTCATAATCTGGGATGATTTTGTTACCACCTTCCTTTTTTTTGTTTTTTAGATTGAATCTCGTTCTGTTACTCTTGCCCAAGTCCTCAACTTCCTGCTTATCACTTTCCCCTTCAGGCTGGTATACCAGCATATTCTGGCTTTGGATCATCTGTAATTTCACTAAACCACTTTCTTCTTACATTTTGAGTCACAAAGACCCAAATGCTGGTTATATTAACTGGGGGGAATATAATTGGGTGTAGCACCAAGTGAGCATTGGGAGATCCAGCTTCAGAAGGTTGACTTTTCATCCTTGTTTTCAATTTGCCTCATGCCTTCTCTTTAAAGGACCGTCTTTGATCATAGCTAACATTACCTTTGCAATAGTAACAAGGAAACAAGAAACATGAAGTGTTAACTCCTTCTTTGCCAATACTTGCCGATACTGCTATTGGAACTGTAAGGAAGATGACATGTGGTTGAAGTAGCATTGTTATGGCAATTTCTCAGAAAAACCAGGTGGCAGAGAGATGGAGAGAAGGAGATTATCCCATTTACATGGACAGGGAGGAGGGTGTGACCTCAGTGGATAGCTCCCAAAAGACTGAGCCCCAAAAAGCAGAAGTGGCCAGGGTTTAAACTGTTTATATATGTAAGCTGGAGCTACAGCTGGTAGAGTGGGATATATGAAAGTTTTGCCAGGATCCTGGAGTTTATCAGGAACTTCTCAGAACACCAGAAGAGGGTTATGATGAACAAAATCATTGTGGTGGGCAAATTGTTCAGCAGTCCTTAGAAACTTCCTATTTCAGCATCACCATGGTAACTTATCCAGGCTTTTTCTGTGTGTGTAGTTCTTCTTGCTGACTGAAGGCGGCAGTGAAGTCAGGGCCGGATGATGTGAAATTACTGTTTGGAAAGTATGGCCTATGTCACCTCAGTCTAAAATCCAAAGTAAAAAAGTGAAAAGTAGATTCTGATTCTCAACCTCCCTCTCCAGCCCTGCCCCCCTCCAACATATTTGGTCTGAGGGTATGACAATATGTTGCTTATGAAGACTCACTTTTTTCAAACTATTGAGAAAGACCTTATGATTCTGGAGACCATGTTTTTTTCCAGATGAAAACTGGGGACATGTGGCATAATGAATACACTTGTCCCCAAAGATCCAGGGCAGGCGGTCACCATACTTTCAATGTCAGGGGGTTAAGAATTTTATAAATAGTTTCTGCTCTGTATGCAAAGGACAGGTTCCTTTCCAGAAGGCACTACTTGTGTTGTTTTTCTGGAGCTGGGGAGGAAAGACACGGCTGACTGTCCTTGTGTGACTCAGGCCGGAGAGATCACCCCAAGTCTTCCTCTGCTTCCCCGGGTCAGCACTGTCCCTGTGCTCAGAACCGTCCCTGGATGCTGTGAGTCACTGGGAATATCAATGGCTAGAAACAAACTTCGTTGCATAGTCCCTGCCTGGGTCACCCCCTAGGGTGAGTTAAGTCTTGGCTGTCAGAAACTGCTCTTGTGCCAGGAGTGCTAAGCCATATTTATTTTTACCAGGCCTCTCAGACTTTCTTGTTTGGAGTGAGAGATCCTGAAAAGCACGCCAGAATGGGCTGTTTGTCTCGCTTTTATTGTCCCCTAGGACATGCCCCCAAAAAAGTTGTAGGGGACTGCCAATTCCAGAGGGGTCTCAGAGGCATTGGTTTCCTCAGAAACACTACCCTTTCCTTCATCCTTCTAGGACAGTCCTGGGGACTGAATTTCCAAGATCAGAATATTGCCCTGAATTAGACCATCATTAATGACTCTTTCAAGGGAAGCACAGGGAGTGAGCACTACAGAAACCAGATAGAATCAGGCACTATTTGGATCGGGTTGGGTCGATAGAATTCTCTCATACCCCAGCATCATTTGACAGCCTGGGTTTGTAAACATAATTCATCTAAAAGAGTCCACGTCCTGACGCTTCGCACGTTCAGCCCCTGGTTCACAAGCAGGAGTGATTCTGCAGCTGGAGACTTTTTGGGCAAGTGGGTGCTTCTGGCCAATAACAGGTAGAGGCTACGATGCTGCTGAACCTGCTCCAATGAGCAGGAGTTATTGGAAGAATTAGTTAGCCGTAATTATTAATAATGCTGAGGTTGAGAAACCCTGCTATAAAAGAGTAATACCACAAGTCTACACTGTAAGCCTACCTAGACCTTTGTCCAGCATTCATGAACTGGGGAAGTATCTTTTCAGGTATAGTAAGTACCAGGCACTGTAGAGGTGGTGGTAACTGATGTACGGGGTCCCTGGAACCTACAGTGGGCAGATAATAGAAAGACCCCACAAATGAATTTAAAGTTATAAAGCATAGGGGTGTTTAAGGAAAAGCACTTAGATATGTGAGTTCAAGAAAGACCTGTGAGAGGCACTGACACGTTGAGTAAGAGTCATCAGGCTAATAGTGGAAGGGGAGGACCTTCCAGGCAGAAGAAGCAGTATTTGCAAAGGCCTTGAGCCAGAAAGAGTCCATTTGTGACAATATTATTAACTTTTTGCAAAGGGGAGCTTTTATCTAGGTCCAGGGGGCTACTGCTGGAGACTGCAGAAAGGGAAAGTATAAGGCAATAGTCTGATTTGCATTTCAGTCCTTTCTTCCCCTGCAAACCTCCACACCACCATTTGCAGTGCCAACACTTCTCATGTTCCAATTCAGCAGCGGTCCTCCCTCAGGATCTACAGTACTATGGCTGATTCAGTTCTTTGGCCTAACTTAGTCACATCCGGGAAAGTGGGACATTCTGCCACACGTTTATCTCCTGAAAATTGATATTCACACACCTGGCACACAGAAGTAGAACCTTTGCAATGCAAGCCTGATATATTTATTTCAGTAGCAAAGATAAATTTATACCAGCATACACAGACATAGGTCAAGGCGTAAACACTCATCTAATAACAAACATGAAGCAAGCATCTGTGTAAATGGTCTCTGATTCTGCATGTGACCCCTTACTACTCATTCTCTACCCAGCAACCAGAGTGATATCTGAAAAACATAAATCAAGTATGCTGTTACTAAGCTCAAAACCTTGCAATCAGTGGCTTCTCATCCACTTAGGATGAGATCCATACTTCTCACCTGGCCTCCCCCTATACGTCATTGGTCACTTTCCCTCTTATTATGCTCTAGCCACAATGGCTTTCTTTCTACCCAGCAACATACTGAGATGGCTGTCTCACTGCTTTTGCATGAGCAGCACCCTACTTGCAGTGCTGTTTCCCCAGACCATCTCATGTCTGGTGTCAGTTCAATGTGATAGCTTCAGAGAAGGCTCACCTGTCCACCCTAAAATTGCCTTGTCCTCACTCACTGCCTTTACCTTATTTTTAAAAAAGATTTATTTACTTATGTATACAGAACTGGGGTACAAGCCATAGGTGCAGAGGCGGTGCAGAATGGGGAGCAGAACAGGCCATTTGAGTAAGTACACTGCTGAGGGGAGCAGTGGGAAGGTCAGGAGAGGTCTACCACGCGATGTGGGTCACCTCCCTGGCCAGGAATCGAACTCATGCGGAAGTGGCTTTAGCTTCCTAGTGCTGTGCTTTAACCTGGTGGGCACCAGGGAGGGCCAGCATTTACCCTATTTTAGTGGGGATTCTTGGAGGAGCTGGTAACATTTAGTCGAGGGGTTATAGGATGTGTAAGAATTGACTAGGCAGGGCCTCTGGTGTTGCAAAGGGTTAAGTCTCAGCACTATGAAACTATCTGCAGCCTCTACAGCTGGAGTTCAATCCCTGGCCAGGGAGCTAACCAACGTGGCACAGCAGACCTCTCCTGTCTCGTCCGCTGCTCCCCTCAGCAGTGTATTTCAGTCGATCTGCCAGTTCTGCGCCCCACTCTATCTTTGGTGAATCTTCTCACCTCCCCCCACTCCACCCTGCCCCTCTAGCCTACACCCATGCTTTTTTTATGCATAAATAAATAAATCTTTAAGAAAAACTTACTAGGCAAAACTAGGTAGAGAAAAGAGCTTATGCCAAAGCAAAGGATATGTAAAAGAGCACAGTTTGGGTATACTGAGTAGGAGAGGACGGTCAGAGGATTAAGTATGTGGGGAAGAGTGAACAGTAAGGTGGCTGAAAAAGTAAGTTTGGGATCAAACTGTGAATTTATAATACACATCTGTGTTAAGGAATTTTGTTTCATCCAGAACTGGAGAGTCAGCAATGCTTTTTAAGTAAGGAAGTAACATGGTCAACTTTTAGGACAATAAAGTCTTATAATAATGTGGAGGATGGTGTGGGGAGAGAAAAAATAGAGACTGGGCTTTGGTTCTAAGATTCTGAAATGTGGGAACTTCCAAGTTTATTTCCTAGGTTTATTTAATGCTTCCCGTGGATTCCCACTCGTCCTCCTGAGCCACTTCCGTTAGCTTGTCTACACGCTGCACTGTCTCTGTGCCTTTTGTTGAGTTAGTTGCTCTTCTGTGGTGATATGGTGGTGGCTTCACACACAAAGTATTTAGGTGTAAGAATGATTTGTCAGTGCTCTCCAATTGATTTTTAATGTGCTCAGTAATGCTTTGCATGTGGCTGGTCTTTTGGGTAATGAATTTGTTCCATGAATTGGGTCCTATGAGACAACCACCAGACCTGTGGATGTAATGGCCCATGTTTTCCAGAGGGGGGATAAAAGCTATTTATTCTATTAGACAAGGAGCATGGTCTGGTCATGCTTCAGAGACTGAAGACTGCCTCTGTCCTCAAGGAACTCACAATTTAGTAGGACAGTTCAACGAATTTTTTAAATGAAATACACACTTATTAAGGTGCATTCTCTAGGAGAGAAGAAGGCACAGCTAATTTTTTTAAAGATTTATTTATTTATGCATACAAAACTGGGGTGCAGGCCAGAGGTGCAGGGATAATGAGAGGATTCACCAGAGACAGAGTGGGGAGCAGAGCAGGCAGATCGACTTAGTACACTGCTGAGGGGAGCAGTGGGTGGGTCAGAAGAGGTCTGCCATGCCATGTGGGTCACCTCCCTGGCTAGGGATCGAACTCATGCTAGTTTCATAGTGCTGTGCTTTAAGCTGCTGAGCCACCATGGAGGGCCCGGCATAGCTAATTTTTGTGGACAACCAAGAAGAGTCAGATAATCTTCCCTCTTAAACTATATGAAAATGTGATTCCCAATTCTGTTTGTAGCACTTGAAAATATAAAATAACAAGAAAATGTAAGCCTATAATTACTCTTGAGCTTCAGTTCAAGTTAAGCTATGTCCTCCTAACCACTTTCATATAATGCATCAGTTATTCTTAACTATTAAAAAATTTGTGAATATTTCTTTTTCTTTGCAAAACCTTCCACAGTGTTGTTTTATTGACCTAAGGCAGTCCAAAATGACTCTTCTGCAAATAGCATTGTAAATTTAAACATACTAATCCCACACAGTGGCATCTCATTTTGTTTCTGGTTTTTTTTTCCCCCCTTATGGAAGATAAGTCTTTTAAGAAGAGCCTAGAAGCTCAGCATGAATTTCATGACCTGCATTTCTTAGTAGCTACTTTGCCTTTAGCATCTTTTCTGCTTGATGAGTTGATAAAAGCGTGTCCCAGTTTCTTGAACCTGTTTTGTAGCATAATCCAGCCTGCATTTTTTCTCTCCTTATTGTTTCCTTGAGGTTTAACACTATCAGTACATTCAAGTTTGCTTCTCTGTAGTTTTTAATCCCAGGGAGGATTTTCTCCCCTATCAATCTCTTCGTGGGTTCTCTGTAGAGCCAGAGAGATCTATTACATGTCAACATATCCCCTCTCTTGTGAGTACTTTTCCTATTGTTTTGGGTTTGGTGTTTCTATTTCTCACGCTGTAGTTTTGACTTTAAAATTTCATGCCTTTTCTACAGTTTGACCAATTTCATTCTACTTGCTTCCCCCAGATGATTTTGTTTGTTCAGGCAAGAATTCAGAAGTGTTATGATAATTTCATAACTGAAAAACACATCTGAATTGAAGATTGACATTTTTCCCTTAGTGCTCAACGGGTCAGAGATACACACTTGACTTTAACAACTCTTGGGTATTTCCACTCTTCTTAAGATGTATGTGTGCGTGCCTTACTGAAAAATTTCCTCTACCACTGATGTGTTGCCAAAATCTATTATCATGCAATCTATGCCAGAAGAGAAATCTAAAAGTAGTTGTTCCTTCTTGGGAAAAACAAACACTACCCAGAAGGCCATCACTTATCCTTCAAAAATACTTCAAAGATTTTTAAGCCATCTATTGTGTTTGTTTCAGGTTGTAGCAACAATACCTGTTTTAGAAAAATTTGAGGATATGAAAGAGCATTAAGAAGAAAACCATAAACAGTCAGTACTTCTACTACCAGTAAGGCTACCTGTGATTTCTTTATAACCCCAAAATTTCTCAAAATCATAGTCTAATAATCTCTAACCCTTTTCTAAGTCTCCCTTCTCAATAGTCTGTTCAGGAGAGAAAGAATAGAAAACTGACTTTAAATACAAGGGTCCTTAGGATTTTTATGGAAGGGATGGAATTGTAGGAAAAACCTACAAATTGCTCCAGAGATGACATCTTGTTCTTATTTAGCTTTCTTTGAGTCATTAACAGTCAGGCGCCACTGGTGCTCAAACTTATCATTATTATAACCACAAACGGGTTAATGCTAAAACAAAGCTATATTCTTGGGGCTGGTTCCCAGCTCTGCCACACTGACCCTGGCAGCAGCACCCTCCAAGGATAATGCTCCACTCAAAATTCTCAGCTTTTATCTGTGAGCTTCCAGTGGCTGGCAGGGCAGAGCAAAGGGAAAAATAAATAAATAAAAGCCAAGTCAACAAACCCTAAAAAAAGAGACTGTGTGGTTTAGTGGTCAGACCACTAGCTTGGAGTTTGGAATAGCTCCAGTTCCAGCTCTCCCTTTGCTTGACTGGATGACGCTAGACAAGTCATTTTCCTGACAATGTTCCTTGGTTTCCTGCTAGAAAGGGAGAAGTATTTTAGAAAGTTTTTTTTTTTAAAAAGATTTACTTATTTATGCATACAGAAATGCAATACAGGCCAGAGGTGCAGGGGGGTTGAGAGGATTCCCCAGAAACAGAGTGGGGAGCAGAACAGGCAGATCCGCAAAGTACATTACTGAGGGAAGTAGCAGGCGAGACAGGAGGGATCTGCAAGCCATGTGGGTCACCTCCTCGGTGGGGATCAAACTCAAAAGCGGTGACGGCATGGCTTAGCTTCCTAGTGCAGCCTCCAACCTGCTGCGCCATTGAGGAGGGCCCTTAGAAAGTTTTTATGGGGACAAATGAAATGATCTGCAAATAGCTTCTGGTTTCCTGGAAATATAATGAAATTATAATCTTTAATAATTGCTATCCTATTATTTTATTAATAATATAGTAATGCACCACAGGTGTGAGAGTTATGAAACTTCCATCCCCTCCAGCCGCATTGGGGAGGGCGGCAGGAAGCATGGGTTGCAGAAGAAGAAGGTAAATATTTTTATCAGATTTGCAAACCTTCACAGCTAGTATCAAAGTTCATTACCTCAAGATAATACATGGTGTTCCTAGTTTGACTCTGTTCCTTTATCCTTACCACATCCCACACCCCATTGACTCAAGGGAGCCTAGAAATGAAACATACAGACAATTTTAGGGAAAGGGAGAATTAGGAGGTTTGAAGCTCCTGTTGGAGGAGACTAAGAATAGCCCCCTCAGAACACCCGGAGTAGAACCTTTTCTTTCCTTTCCCTCCCAGTAGCGGTTCCTTCCTCCCTCCCTGCCTCCTTCTCTCCCTTCCTTATCTCCTTCCTCTTTCCTTCCTTCCTCCTTTCTTTTCACAAAAAAACTTAACTTGTTGGGGGAGGGGGCTAACTAAAAATAAACGGTGAGACAGAGTGGGTTTTTTCTACAAAGTTTGAAATGTGGCAAGTACTACAGATCTCTACCCTGTTGTTGGGAGTGCAGTGGCACAAAAAAAGAATTATTTTTTGGATATCTGAGAGCTTGAAAGCCAGTGAATCTCCTCCCTTCTAAAAGAAGAAGTGAGCACTTAGGCATATGAGTTGGGGGGAAACCCCAAAAGGGGTCCTCCCTTTGCAGCATCCCCTCAGTTAAGTGAAATGTCTAGGGGAAAAAAACAAAGGAGAAAAACACTGGAAAAGGTTTCAAATAGTAAAATACTCCAAGTAAGAGTAGAAGTAGGGACTAAGGGTAAAGAGGAATTTGAGAAGAAACAGTAATGAAGTCAGAGAATACGAGCATCTTTTGTTGTCAGAGACAAAAAAGAAACATATCTGATCTCAAAGAGCTGTCAAGATCTACCTACATGGAAAAACTGTCGTAATTTAAGGCAGTAAATAATAGGGATTAAAAAGGTAACGGATATAAAATGTTTATGGGAAATTAGGGGTGAGAGGGGGCTAAAGTAGGATTATTTACAAAGTTCAAGAACTGAGGCATGGAAAGCTTGTAATAATTCGTCGACAACAGGAAAAACAAAGAAGTATGAATAGTGTGGATTCAAAAGAACCCTCCAACTCAAATTTTTCTAGGACCAAAGAAACTTCCACCTTTGCGAAGTGACTGTTCCCGGAACTGGTGTGGCCAGCTTGGCGTTGCGAGACGGAAACAGTTTGCGGGACACCCCCCCCCTCTCCTCCCATCTCTCCTCCCGCTGCGCTGGTGCCATGGCAACGGAGTGTGCCCACGACCTGGGTTCCGGAAGCAGAAGAGCTAGAGCTTGGAAGCTGCCCCGGTCAAAGGATGCTGAGTCCGGAGCGTCTAGCCTTACCGGACTACGAGTATCTGGGTAGGCGCTTCCTTCAGCTTTGGGGAAGGAAAGAAGTGCAGACGAGTTAGGCCGGGGACTGAGGGGGAGGCGGGAACCGGGTCTGAGTGGTACGGTCCGAGTGGGGTAGGGAGGGAGGGGGGCGTTCCAGGGCCTGTGTGTGCAAGGCCGAGTGAGAGGAAATCGGGGGAGCAAGGAATGCCTGAAGTGTGCAGTGTGGATTATGCGGCAAGTGGGGTAGGTTGGAATTGAGAATTTTGGAGCCCTTTTGAAGGTATTGATACGCTGGTAGCTGAGTAACCTTTAAACATGAAGTGCCAAATCAATCATTCTGAATAGTCGTTTTACCGTTATAGTGGCAACTAACATTTTCGAGCTTTACTTTTACATCAGGCTCAATACTAAGCATTTAGATGCATTCTTTATGGAGTCTTCACAACTGCCCTGGCAGAAAACACTGTGTTTGTGTGTTTTCCATTTTGCACACGGAGAAACTAAGGCTGAAGAGGTAATTTGTGAAAATCAGGCCACGCAGATGAAAAATGGAGGGACTAGACTCAGAATCTGATTTGCCAGTTCCAGAGTTGTTTTGACCACTAAGACTGTCACTGTAGGACTTTATGGCGCACTTTCAATGGATAAGGCATTTACAGGATGAATAAAAAAATGCATTTACATACATACACATATATAGATAGTCACATGCACAGTTTTTAGAGACATGAAGTTTATAGAAAATTCAGCAGAGAAAACCCAATAAGAGAAAACCCAAGTACCAGCTCTTCCCCCGTTCAAGAATTTCCTCTATTATTAACATCTGACATTAGTGTAGTACATTTGTTACAGTTGATAAATTGATATTGCTACATTATTATTTACTAAAGTCCATAGTTTACATTAGGGCTCACTCTTTGTGTTGTACAGTTTTATGGATTTTGGCAAATGCTTAATTGTAGTATCATGCAAATTATTTCACTGCCCTAAAAGTCCTATTCATCCTTCCTCTACCCCCAAACCCTTAGCAACCACTGCTTATTTTACTGTCTATAAAGTTTTACTTTTCCAGAATGTCATCTATTTGGAGTCACTGGTTACTTTTACTAAGCAATATATACTTGATGCCCTTCCAGATCTTTTCCTGGCTTGCTAACTCATTTCTTTTTATTGCTGAGTAATAGTCAAATGTATGGATGTACTGTACACATTTTTTTCAGTAAAAAGCATTTATACTTTAACATTATGAATTGATAACATGGAAACGATTCAAAAATATAAAGAAGTTTTTAGCAAAAAGAGACCTCTTATCCCTTCTCCCATCTGCCAAACTCCTATCCATCTCTGGCCCCACTGTTTCTTGTGTGTCCTTGCCAAGTTTCTTTATGTATGTACCTAGGAAAGAATACGATGCGCATTTTTTGGTCTAATATACCAGTAGTTTCTGTGTCTGTAGAGAATTTCCACATTCTTTTTTTAAAGCTTGCATAGTAGTTAAATGATTTACTTAACCATTTCTCAAGTTTCTAGCTTTTTGATATTATTAAAAATAGCCTACTGAATATCCTGCAAGGATAAATTCCACAAAATAAATTGGGACAGAGAGAGATATTAGGGTGACTATAAATATATCCCTTAATTGGAGAAAAGGGGATAATTATATCACAGAAAATTTTGTATTCAGTGAATATATTCAATAGCAATTCCTAGATTTTTGCTAAGAATATCTCTATATAGCCTTTGTGTGTGTGTGTGTGTGTGTCTCCTAGCTCATTGTTCAGTTCCTTGGGTGTTTGCTGCTTGAGTTATGTTATCTCAACGCTTAGCATGTTTGACATACTGGTGCTTTGGTGAGTAGAAGTTGTTGGTTCCTCCACTAGTGACTTTCCAAGGAGACTAATTCCATGGCAATGTTGATGAACATACAAACATAATCAAAACCTGAGGTTGCTGAAAATGTGTGAACCCTGAACAAATGCTCTTTCAGGCTCTGTTGTGTACAGCTGTTCCTTGACTCATGATGGAGTTATGTAACATTAAACCCATCCTAAGTTGAAAATATCATAGGTAGAAAATGCAGCTAATACACCCAACCTACTAAACATTTTAGCTTAGCCTCGCCCACTGCAAACATGTTCAGAACACCTACATTAACCTACAGTTGGGCGATGTCTTGAGTTTCACTTAAACAGTAGTTGTCTTCTCCACGAGGGCATATTGTAGTAATAGCACTAGCCTAGGAAAATGTCAACATTCTAAGTATGTTTCCACTGGCTGTGGATGGCTTTCACAGCATCCTAAGGTCAAAGAACTTTAAATAGTTGGAGACTGCATATAAGTGTTTTAGACTCCTTTCCTAATCACCTTTTTGGACATATTATTGCCTTAAGCAGGATCATTCCACACATTTGCTTCTTCATGGTTCAGCAGACCATACAACTCTGCTGAAATGCACATGTCTTTAGTCGAGATTATTCCCTGCCCCTTACAGTTTGAGCTGAGTAATAGTCATAGGAATAGTAAGTATTCCATACTTAGGGGCATACTGTTTTGAAGCATTCACCTCAATTTAATGATTGTTTGAAACCATGCCTTGTGGAAATTATTTTAATATAATAATTTCCCAAACTTACATTTTAAAATATTTATAGGAGCTTTTTTCTTTTCATTTCATTTCTTTTTTTTTATTTATAACAGTTTATTTTTACATCATTTTGTACATTTTTTTCCATCTCAATTGTAATCTCCGCATTCTTTTCATTTTTAACTTATAAGTTATAAAGCTATTTGCATGTATAGGACTAGCAAAGACAATACATAGTAGAGAAAATAAATTTGAAGAAACAGGAAAGTTCTAGGCATTCAGTGAAACAGAAAATGCCAATCTGAGTGCCCTCCCTTATAAGTGTACCTGGAGATCCCTTTTTAGTATTATGGTATCTATATTACAAGGATACCTATTCAATGAATATCTATAGATTTCCTATTCTACCTGCTGGCTAAGACTTAACATTTGTCTTTTTGACTACTAGCGAAGAAAACAATCTCATATTATGTTGGGTAAACTGATCTTTTCCCCATTGACTTCGTGGATTAGGAACCTATAATCATGGCCTGTTATGGCTTAAGATCTTAAGATCATCATTACAGAATCAGCTCACCGATGTTCATGCCTGCAGTCATCAGACCATACTGATAGAAATTGTGTTAATGCTCTGGCCTGAACAGAGATGAAATAAGTACAGAACTCTTTGTGTCAGACCCATGAAAAGTTTCCAGCTTGTGAAAGCTACTTACTGGGAGCCTCTGCCAGAGGCTGAGGTGTGTCTGTGTGTTTGGTTGGGTGTGGGGAGCTCTCTAGAGCCGAAGGGCAGCCTGTTCTGGTCCCAGGTTTGCAAAACACCACCTACGTGCTGACCTGAGTATAAGCGTGAGGGTGTGAGGCTTACTTTTTACCCCACCTAATTTGGTAAGACTGCTTTCATCCAGGCTCCAAGTTGCCTTTTTGGTTTCCATGGAAACTGCTTATTTCTCAGTAAGACTGGTAGTGGATTGGCATAATAGGTAACTCTAAGAAGTCAGAGATGATCTTTTTCCTTGGCAGGCTATACGCTTAGAGGACTTAATGATAAATTGAATAGTTTTTCTTTAAACTATGTTGTTTGAGCACTTATATATGCTTAATGCTATCCCTTCGTCTTCATGACCACTATATGAAGGAGGTATTATTGCTAGTCTCGTTTACCAGTGATGGATATCATGTCCTGATCACATGAGGCAACTCAATTAGAAAGGCTAATTGAGTTGTAAAAAGTCTCACACGGGTGATGGATGATGCATAGCAAAGCAGGGATTCCATAGCTTTTTTCCCCCTCCACTTAGAAAATAAAAACAAATAAACCAACTATTGTCAATAATAAAGAGGCAGTGAGTCTTGCTTTCTTGTTAAAGATGGAGCTCTTAAACAGTCTATTAGATACAAGTAAATTTCATGAGAACAGGAATTGTATTTTATTAATTACTGTATGCCTACCTTTCACAAAGTAGGCACTTAATATTTACATATAATTTACATATATGTTAAATTGACTATGAATAATCTGACTTTAAAGTTCCCCAAATGTAAGCCTCTAACAACAGCAATAAAGATTCATTGACCACTTACTATGTGCCAGACAATAGTTTAAGTGCTTCACATATTTTAGAATAATAAGAGGAGTTTCAATTGTTATCTCCTTTTCATAGAGGAGGAATGGCAGCAGACAGGTATTAAATTACTGGTTAGTATATCATGGAGCTAGAACTCTTAATCCAGCAGGTAATTCTAATCCACTGGTAAGTTCTAGGCTGTAAATACTTTGACCAAAAATGAGGGTCCAACTATTGCATAGATATGGATGGATCCTGGAGTAGGTTCAGGTGACTCTAAGGACTTAATTTAACATTTCTGCCAGGAGGGGGCATCCTAGGAATCAGTATGGATCAGGGAATAGTAAAATTCCACTTCCGTTTTGCTACTGGACTCATCTCTTGTAGGCAGGTAATGAGGAAGATAACTTTAAAAATAAAGCTTTTGGGAGAGTTTTGTGGATAATAAGGTTTGTACTTTGGGTGGCTGTGTGACCTTGAAGAAGTTACTTAACCTCTCTGTGCCTTAGTTTCCTTTTCTGCAAAGTGTGGTTAATAGTAGTTGCCTCCTACATGTAAACTTTGAGGGTAATGCCTTGTTGCTACATTGTGTCTACATTGAACACCTGGGTAGGTGCTGAATAAATACTCACTACTATTATAATACTACTATACTTTTATAAGTATATGTAATTCATCTGTGGCAATGATGAAAGGGTACCTCTCAGCTCTCCTATTGATGGTAGGCATTGGTAACTGACTCCAAACCTCTGCTCTGAATCCAGCAGCTCTTCATCTGAGGTCACTCTGCTCACAGGCTGCTCCTAGACAGTGACTCGGTGGGACGGATCATTTCTAGGAGATGCATGATTCCATCATTTCTAGGAGATGCATGATTC